AATAAGAATAAAATTAGTCAGCAATGTGACCACCTGGTAGCCTGATGTCATCAGATGTCAGAAGCTAAGCAAGGCTGAGCCTGGTCAGTACTTGGATAGGAAATCAGGTCACTGCCTTAAATGGTGTTGGTGATCCAATAGGTGGCAGTCTTACCTCTGGCACAGACTACCAAACAGTACTGAGATACTGTGCTGTAGGAAGTGCCATTGTTCAGATGAAACATTAAACTAAGGTGCTGATGTCTTGTTCATTAAAGATCCAATGATTTCTTTAAATGACGTTTTCAAAAGAAGCTCCCAGTGAAAAGATACAATAACAACCCAAACATTTATTAATTTTGTTCATAACGTTTTCAGATCTGTATGAACGGGTTCATAACAGACAAATTAATACTGTATTTCCACACTGGCTTTAGAATGTCAGAGAAATCTGTCTAGACTTTCCTGGAACAGGGTAACATCCATTGTACTATAGGGTCCGGTTACAATTCACCCCCTGTCTGAAAAATGAATTGGATGCTATGAAGAAGAGGTTGCCTGTAAGAAACTGGAAACAGAAGGCAAAATCCTTAAGTTGGAAAGTCAAGGTCCAAGAAATACGCTGAAGAGCACCAAGGCCATGGAAAACAGACGGCTCTTTGGAGTGTGAAAGCACAGCAGATTGATACCGGTTTTCAATACAGGAGCGGAGAGTGACAAAGAGGCATGATAGGACCTCCTCAAACTGAGGAATCTAGGCTAACTTGGCCCTGCACTTCCCTTGAAGATTAATTGCAACGGTGCTTGAGATAACCTCCACTTGTGTATGTGTGTGCGGAGGGAGCTGTCCTTGTCCAGTCCAACCCTCACCAACAGCCCGATAAATCCTCACTCTAACTGACAGTGCTTGTTCAGAGAGGGAGGTTTCATTTAAAGATCTGTCACTAATCCACTTGATGTGATAAATAGATCCAGAACAAGCTCAGCCAGCTTCATTATCTGAAGCCTTAGGCTTGAGTTCACACAGAATACCAATGACAAGGCCTCATCTTTCACTTGGCTTCAAACTTTTCTTCTTCTTGCTTTAACACACAATTGCCAGAATAGGGCTTTCTAGGGTTTCACAGTTTTCTTCAGATGGATTTTGAAACCACATCATCAAAGTAGCGTCCGAAATGCACATTATGATTGCAAGGAACAGGCGGAGTAAAAGGCTACCCTTTTGTCCTGTTTAAATCAAAACAGATCTGTAAAAAAAACAACAACAGAATAGGTCCAGCTGGGGGAGATATATTTATGTGACGGAAAAGAGAAAAAAAAAATCCTTACAACAGACACCAACAGAAACCTTAACCTCAAAGTTCACTGCTGCCTCTTCCTTGGTTTTTATTTTCAAAACAGAACAAGATAAAGGTAAAACAACATAATGCCTCCTCTGTCCCCCGAGCCAAGTATTTATGGTACCTAGTCCAACCCAAAGGGCCACTAAGCTAGAATAAGAAAGCTCCATTAAAGGCACTAAGCAATACCAACTTTAACACAGTAGCCACACCCTTCCAAACCTCACTGCCCTCCTCAGCCACCACCGAGCCAAGTAGCTCAAAGCTCCAAGCAAACCACAGCAAGATGGAACAGGATCCAGTTAAGCAAGGGTGAGAGATGCTGTCTGTTCTGGTTAATACTTACCTTGGAGAACGATCCATGGGGTGATTAAGAAGCTAAGATAGCAGCCAGCTCAGTCATATTTCCAGAAATCCATCATTCATTCCAGAGCAGGCCTAACTACAGTACACACGCACAGAAATCCATCAGGTTCTGCAGAGCACTAGGTTTCATAGGGAAGAGGGACTAAGGCTAGAACTACAGCAATCTAAAAAGATCTTGATTTGTTTAACACACAGCTTTGTCTACCTCACACTCTTTTCCAGATAAGAACTAAAAAGCTTAAGGAAGATGAGTTCCTATCACAGAAG